GTAGCCCCCCCCCTCCCTCTCTCTCTATTTCTTTCTCTCTCTGACACTCATAACAATAAATGAAACAAAACTCTCTCTTTCTCTCTCTCTCTCTCTCTCTCTCTCTAGTGTTAGCTCTTAGTCTCATTGATTTGGCTACCTTAGGGCTGCGTTCCCCGCGCCCACGCGGTAGACAATACTTCGCGGTCGCTGGCGGCGAAATTCGCCAGCCTGTGGGGTCCGACCCTTAGTTTCGCCCTCCCAATCATACAGGGGCTGTTTGTGTCCTTCACCCCCTTACGGAAAAGTAATGTTTGGCTGCGTTTTTTTTCTCTTCACTATCTACCTACCACTGCTGCTTCCACGCGATGGGGTTTATTTTGCTTCTCACGAAATTGGGGCAGTAGGTAGGTAGGTAGGCTGGTTTATTTTGCTTACTCAAGGCCCCTACCTACCTAGTTGTTTGAGGGTTTCACGCGGCGTCTTTAGTTTGTGCATCTGCATCCGTGTTACTTTTGTGCATGTTCATCCGTTATGCAGGGCCGCGTCACGCCTTCCCTCCGTGCAAAGAGAGGCACAACATCCCAAGAGCCTCCAGACGAGGCCGGGATCGGGTTCGGGTTGGCGTTCGGGTTGCTGCTCCGGTTGTCGCCAGTTTCGCGGGCTTACTTTAGCCCCCCCCCTCCTTACCTCGAGGTAGGTAGTCACCGGAACGTGCGGCGTGGGTGTCTCCAGTTCCTTCCCGGGCCCACGGCGGGATCTCCATGTCAATCAGTTTGATAATTGGTCGCGGAACCAATCAATCTATTGCTGAAGGAATCAATCAGTCGGTGAAATGATCAATCCGTCAATCAATCGATGATTCGGTCAATCAGCCAACCAATCAATCAATCAATCGATGATTCGGTCAATCAGACAACCAAGCAATCAATCGATTTAGTTATCTCACCCGTCGTCAGATCAGGGAAATGTGACGGAGGATGCGTGGAAGTGGAAGAAGACGGGGAAGTGTCGCAGAAAGGGTGGTGAGGGAGCGAGAAGGGAAGGCGGGGAGAGGGAGCGAGGGCGGACAGGTGACAGCGGGGAGCAAGGAGCGGAGGCGAGAGAGTAAGGGGAGAGGGAGGGAGCGAAGTGTGGGAGGTGGAGTTGGAAGGAAGGGTTGGAGGAGTAAAGGGACGGGTAGTGTGGGAAGGGGAGTGAGGAGAGAAGGGGGGAACGGCAGGAAGAAGGGTGGGCGTCCAGAAGTGAAGGCGAGCGGGAAGGGGGGAGCAGGGGGACAGAGGAGGGAGAAAGGGGAGGGGTAGGGATATCGACGGGCATTATGAGTTTCCAAGATGTTGCGGGAACGGGAGCAGGGCCCGCTGGCTTGCGCGGCGGCGCGCAGCAAGATCGGGATCCAAGCCAGCAGGTCGCGGCGGGAATCTTCCAGATCAACACCAGTGTGAACACGTTCAAGAGACTTGTGAATACGCTTGGCACGCCCAAAGATACGCCCGAACTGCGCGAACGATTGTGAGTCCAATCGATCCATCCCTATGCTCTACCTCCTCCTCCTCCTCCTCCTCCTCCTCCTCCTTCTCCTCTGCCCGAAAGTATTCCTGTCTGCCTCCACCTCTCCTCCTCGGGCGTTACGGTCGCTCTGCTGTTTGCCGTGCTCAGTATGATCCCTACACGTGTCCCTCTTTCACTTTCACTTTTCCTCTGCTCTTCAATCTGGTTCTCTCATCCTCTTTTCTTCAATGCGTCTCCGGTTTCATATGTCCGTCACACTCTTTGTTCGCCACGTGGAGGGAGGTATGGCCCGATGACGTGGCTGATGCCACTGATGGTAATCAATCAACGAGATTGGCTGGACTGAGCGGAACAGATTTGCCATTCTCTTTGATCCATGGATTGATTGAATGAGTCGATGGGTTGATTGAATGGATGGGTCGATGGCTACAATTTGATTGGGATGGGGTCGATGGCTTGAATTGATTGGATGGCTCTGATGGATTGAATTGATTGGATGGGTTGATGGATTGATTGGATAGATTGCTGTAGTGATTCGCAAGAGCCATGTCTTGCAGACCTTGACTACCAGATCAGATGAAGGCCGAAGGACGCACTGGATGAGTCGATTGATGATTAATTAGATGCGTGGATGGATTGTTGATTGGATGCGTCGATGGATTGATTGGGGATGGGTCGATGGATTTTTCGAGTGGAAGGGAAGGTGGAGGACTCGGGTCCAGCTAGCGATGTTGGACCAGCGAGCAATGTACGTGATACATTTTCTGACTCAATTGATTAGATCGACGGGGGTTGTGGTTGATTAGGTTCGCGGGAACTTCGTTCGTCACCGTTGGATTAATCAAACCAACCAATCAAGGAGATTGGCTGGACTGAGTGGAACAGAGCTTGGCGTATGCACAGGGAGTAGTGCAAGGGAAGGAGAAGAGGAAGAAAGAGAGTGGGGAGGGGTGTAAATAGAGGCGGGGGGAGGGGGCCGGGGGGAGGAATTAAAGGGAGGATGTAAACAGACGCGGGATTACAGACTGCGCGCGGGCGGACGTGACGGCGTCTGCCGCTTGCAGGAGGTTGGGCTAGTCTCATGACACGTGTACTCAATCAGACATTCATTCGGGAAGGCTAACCCCCTTCTTTCCTTTCGCAGGGAGGGAGCTGGGAGGGAACGTTATGCGCGGGCGGTCCTTTCTCTGCCTTCATTCCCTTCCTCTCCCTCCATCCCCGTTCTCCCTCTTCCGTCTTCGCTTTCAGCTGTTTCACTCTTCGCCCTCCCTCTCTCCGTCTTCCTTCATTACTCTCTCTTCAACGAACAGAGGGAGTAATTGCTCTGCGCACCGAGTCCAAAAACTTTTGATCGTGATAACAAGGCGCCGCTTATACACTGGATAACAAGGCGCCGCTTATACACTGAGCTTCGCCCTTCACTAACCATTTTGTCGCAGGTGCGATAAGCACACAAGTGGCAGAGGCGAAGCTTTTGATCTATTGCCAGGTGCTGGCGATACCGCCTGCAGCTCTGCTTCGACTACGGCGATTTGCGCTGTTTCTCCTCGTCGTCTTGTTTATTCCGTCTTCTCTTCCTGTCGCTTCGTCTTCCTCTCCCTCTTTTCTCCTTTCCCTCTGCTTCTCCCTCCCCTCGTCCTTCGTTCTCCCTCGTTTGCCCTCTCCTTCTTCCTCTTCTTCTCCCTCTCCTACTCCCCTCTATCTCTATGCCACCGCTGTCTCGTTTCCCTCTCCCTCTCTATCCCTCTTTCCCTCTTCCTTGTCTCTGTGTTCTACCTTTCTCTCCTCTCCTCTCTCCTCTTCTCTCTCCTCTCCCCTCTCCTCTGTCCTCTCCTCTCGTTCTCCATCTCCCTGTCTTTCTCCCCTCCTTTTTCCGTGTGACCTGGTCGCGCTCTTGCTCGCTCTTCCTGTCTCTTCCCTTCTGTCCCTCCTGCCTCTGTGCACTCTTTCCATGCTTTTCCCTGTTCTCTCGCCTCGTTCTCTCATTCGCATTTCCATCCCTCGGTTCGCTGATCTCCTCCTTGCCTTCTCCTTGTCCTTTGCCTTCTTTTCTTCTGCTTTTTTTCTTTTTTTTCTTTTTTTTTTGGGTCTTTTTTTCCGGGCAGGAGGGGGAGTTCCTCGATTTGCGCAAATCGAGGAACTCCTCCCGCCTGCCTTTTTTTTTCCGTGTTTCCGTTTCGTTCCGTTTCTTTCCGTTACTCAAAAGGATTTTTCCCTGCTTTTGTAGGTGCTATCTACTCTTCTATGCGGGACTAAGAAGCTTTCACCCTTGTCGCCCCGCCTGCCTTTTTCTTTCCGTTTCTTTCTCTGCCTCTCTCTCTCTCTCTTCTCTCTCTTCTCTCTCTCTTCTCTCTCTCCTCTCTCTCTTCTCTCTCTCTTCTCTCTCTCTTCTCTCGATCCGTTCTTTCCGTTCTCTCCCTTCTCTCCTTGCCTCTTGTATCTCACTTCTTCGTCCTTCGCGCCCCGCGTGCCTCCCTCGTCTCTCAAATCTCCCTCTTTCTCTGTTTCTGTCTCTGCCTGTATTTCGCTCTTTCTCTCTCTCTCTCTCCCCCTTCTCTCCCTTCACTCGTATTTTGCTCTTCTTGTGGTCCCGTAGGTAATTCTACCGGTAGTACGCTTCCCCCCCCCGGTCGAAGGCATCAGCAGATGGCAAGGGCGCTGTTACTGTCGCCTTGTGTTTTTGTATTTATTTTGATTTGATTTGGTTTTTTATTTAGTGGCGTTTTTTTCGCCCCGCCCTCTCTGTCGATGGCAGGGGGCGCTGCTGCTGACGCGTAGTGTTTTGTATTTATTTGATTTGATTTGTTTTTTTATTTAGTGGCGTTTTTTTGGCGCTTTTTTTTGTTTTTGAAGGCCGACGGCGTTGCGATATCATCATTGAACTGACCGGCGGTAGGTAGGTAATCCAGAAGTACTTTTGTTAATCTGACTGCATTGGGATTCGAACGTGGGTCCGATTCCTATTTGAACTGTTCAGGGGTGTGTACCAACTGAGCTAGGCCCTTCTGGATTTTCACTCTTTCTGATAGGTAATCCCTCTTCTGCCTGACATCTTTCTTTTTTTTTTTTTCTTTTTCTTTCTTCTGCTTGAAATCCTGAGATCCCCGCGGTCGTAGTATATGCTTGGTCAGGCACGTCCAAGTGCAGATTACGCACCTGACTGGCTGCATGTCCAGGTGCATTCTGACCTTACCAAATTCTCTCGTTCTGCGAAACTGTGGTGTGCAGTCCATATGCCTTTCTCCCATTTCGTCATTTTCTCGGTAGTTGCTCCCCCAAAAGCAAACTGGGAGAATTTGTTCTGGTGGACATGGACGCACCTGGGTGCCTTCATGTCCAGGTGCATTCTGACGGTGCCCACTTCGGCGTTGTATTTTGCTACGAGCTTTTTCTTTCGATTCTGTAAAATAATATCATTATCATCAATAAAAAATTAATGATATTATCGGATTAGCGATCGTCAATTTGACACTACACATACGCCAGTTCGCCCCCCCCCCCCCCCCCCCCCCCCCTCTCCGGCAATGAATATATACGGGTCTGAAATGTATATATGCTTGCGGATAAGGTGGGAGATGACGTGTCATGTTAAGGGGTATCCGTAATACAGAGGACCGTAGGGCATTCAAATTTCAAACTAAAATATATATAAAAATATATATTTAAACGAAACTCATCATCATCCTCAGAATAAACGTCACCAGCAGATCATCGACATATAACTGATGGTTGGCATTCCTGTTTTTCAGCGCCACACCCGTTCTTTTTTTTTTTTTTTTTTTTTTAGTATCATTTGTCGATGTATGCATGTCACCCTTGATTGCGCAGGGGCCATGCTAATCTTCTCTTTCTGTATCGTTCCAATTTTTACCTGATGTCCCCCAAAGGAACGCGACAATATTTTTCATTTTTCAAAGTTCTCAATGATTTCAGTCCCTCTTTTTTTCGTTCTTCTGGTGGTAGAGAGTGGAAAGCCTCTCCTGAGGAGTACCGCAGGGAGTCGGGATTTTTTTTTTTTTTAAAGAAGGAAAAAAAAAATGGAAGGCGGGGTCCCTCAGGGAAAACCTCCGGAGGGTTGTTTGCGTGCCCCACCTAGTTCGAAGAATAGCGTGTTCCCCGAGTTCGAAGAACATTTTCCTCCTTTCTCCTCCTCGTCTCCTCGGGGAACACGCTATTCTCCGAACTAGGTGGGGCACGCAAACAGCCCTCGGGGAACACGCTATTCTTCGAACTACGTGGGGCACGCAAACAACCCTCAGGAGGTTTTCCCTGAGGGCCCCCGCCTTTCATTTTTCTAAAAAAAAAAAAAATCGATCCCGACTCCCTGCGGTACTCCTCAGGAAAGGCTTTCCACTCTCTACCACCAAAAGAAATGAAAAAAAAATGGACTAAAATCATTGAAAACTTTGAAAAAGGAAAACTATTGTCCCGTCGTTTGGGGGACATCCGGAGATTAACGCTGCAATAGCCAAGATCACTGTATCTGCAATAGCCCTGAGGGTTGTTTACGTGCCGAGTTCGAAGAACGAACATCGCGAGTTCGAAGAACAGGCTATTCTCGTTCTTATGAAAAATCTCTCGTTTGTGGTCGTGAACAAGAGTAGGCAATTGCTGCTGCTGCTGCGTTTCTTTTCTCTCTGGTGATACTTCTATGATCATGATGATAATATACAGTAATAACGAAACTAAAGAGACTAATTTCGCGTCTAGTAATATTGGCCAAGCAAATTGCAAATATAGTTCGCGTCAACTTACATATGCGCAATTAGCGCAAAGAGGATGACGGCGATGATGCTGTTCTTTTTTTGGGTTTGTTTGTTTAACCTCTGAAGGGCGATGGGCTTGAGATGACTTGGTGGGTGACAATGGAGGTCTGGCGCTCGGCACAGCGAACATGTAAAGAGACACCGAACGAGAAAAACAACAACAAAAAACAAGCGAAGAATCAAGCGAAATCTCTTCGCTTATGTAATGAACATGTAAAACGGGGGCCGGCGGAGGGAGAGAGAGAGAGAGAGAGAGAGAGAGAGAGAGAGAGAGAGAGAGAGAGAGGCGCTCGGCACAGTGAACATGTATCAAAACGAAATCTCTTCGCTTATGTAATGAACATGTAAAACAGGGGGGAGAGAGAGAGAGAATGAATAAAGGAATGAAGGACAGGAGCGGAGGGAGTGAAAGTAGCATGAGAGCATTCTAAGGAGTAAAGGGCTTAGAAGTGCGAAGACGAGGGGGAGGTAGAGGAGGGAGTTAGGGTACCATGGAGTTATTATATATTACATATAGTTCTGATGTTAAATACGGAAGCGGGTGGTTTTTTGACTAAGTCTTTTTTTTTTCTTTTTCGTTTTCCGTTCAGGGGTGCCTGGAAATATCTCTGAGTCGTCTCTTCTGTTCAGGCACTGTTATCCCGACGCGAGTGTCGCAGCGAGAGTAGTGACATAGTGAGTAGAACGTCCACACTGTGCTTAAGGAAGTTACGCGCGAAACATTCAGCGTTCTGATTTATTTATTTATTCATTAATGAAGAAATTCCAGGGGGGTATATCCAATTCAGGGGATGATAAGAGCATCCCCGTAAAGTGGGGCCCGAGCGTGGAAGCTCCAATGTATTCAGCGTTCTTAATGTGTTCGCAGAGCACGTCCTCTACAAACTACGTCCTCTCCTCGTCTCCTCTTCTCCTTTTCTCCTCTTCTCTTCTCCTCTTCTCCTCTTCTCTTATCTTCTTATCCTCCTCTCTCCTCTTCTCGTCTTCTCCTCCTCCTCGTTTCTTCTCCTCTTCTCTTCTCCTTTTTCTCTTCTCCTCTTCTCTTATCTTCTTATCCTCCTCTCTCCTCTTCTCTTCTTCTCTTCTCCTCTTCGCTTCTCCTCTTCGCTTCTCCTCTCCCCTTCTCTTCTCCTCTTCTCCTCCTCTCTTCTCTTCTCGTCTTTTCTCTTCTCCTCCTCTCCCCTTCTCTTCTCTTCTCCTCCTCTCCCCTTCTCTTCTCCTCCTCTCCCCTTCTCTTCTCTGTTCTCCTCTTCTCCTCTCGTTTCCTCTTCTCCTCCTCTCCTCTTGTCCTCTTCTCCTCTTCTCTCCTTTTCTCTTCTCCTCTTCTCCTCCTCTTCTCGTCTTCTCCTCCTTTCTCCTCCTCGTCTCCTCTTCTCCTCTTCTCCTCCTCTTCTCCTCGTGTAGCGAGGGCTATCGTGGCGCATTGTCTTCTGACGTGTTCGTGTAGCGTGCGTGTGTCATGCACATGTCATCGAGCAGGTGTTCCTGTCGTGCTGCATCTGTGAAGGGGTAGTAAATCTTTCCGTAAAGGGTTGATTAAACCTTCAAGGGTCAATAACCCTATCCACAAAGGGATCATACCTCTATACGCAAAGGACTACTAACTTTGTCCGTGAAAAGAAATAATGACTCTATATCCATAAAGAGATAATATAACTCTGCGTAGTGGGGCAATACCTCTAGGAAAGCCAGACGGAGTGTTTTAGTTAGCAGCAGTTTTCATTTACCCTCTGTGCGTAATGGGATAATAATAAGTTAATAATAACACGACGTAAGGCGCTTAATATTGATCCCTGGTAACAACCGTTGGGTTAGTTCCTCGAGTTATTCGCAGGAGAGGTTAAATGAAAACTCCCCCTAACTATACTTATTAAGCCCTCCTAACAACCAACCGTTACGTTAGTTTGTGGTCCATGCACTAACGTAACGGTTTCCTAACAACCAACCGTTACGTTAGTTTGTGGTCCATGCACTAACGTAACGGTTGGTTGTTAGGAGGGATTCATGAGGGCCTCCTGGCTATGCAACTAACGGAGCCAGAAAAGGGGAGAAAGGTATATCTGCACAGGAGGTGGCACATTTCCTCGCAGGATTCCTCCCCGGACTATGTATGAAATACATTGAATAGTAACGAATGTATCTTGCCGGCTTCTGTGTGAAGATTAGATTCGTCGCCATGCAAAGAAATGTCTGAGAACTGACGGTCGGTACGATGACCTTTGTCTGTTTTTTCCTAGGCTACCAGCCGGGCCGCCCGGGTCCCGGGTGGCCAGCCCGTGCAAGGACAAGGGAAGGTCCCAGCAAAAAAAAAAA